AAAGTAGAGACATCTATCAATGGAACTGAAGAGAGAACCCAGAAATAAAACCATCTACCTATAAGTAGATGAACTTCAACAAAGCGGACAACAATATGCCGTGAGGAAAGGATGCTCTATTCAGTAAATGGTGGTGGGAAAATTGGATAGCCACACACAGAAGAAGGAAACGGGTCACATATTTCTCACCATTGACAACAATTAATGCAAGATGGTTAAAAGACTTAAACGTAAGGCATGAACCCATAAAAATTATGGAAGAAAATAGACGAAAAACTCTTCTAGACATCAGCCTAAGCAAGAATTTATGTCTAAGACTCCAAAGGCAAATACAGTAACAACAAAAATAAATAAATGGGACTTAATTATATTAAAAAGCTTCTGCACAGCAAAGGAAATAATCAACAGAGTGAATAGATATCCTACAGAATGCGAGAATATATTCACAATCTATACATCCAACAAAGGACTAATATCCATAATCTACAAAGAACTCAAATCAGAAAAAAAAAAAAGCACAAACAACCCCATCAAAAAGTGGGCAAAAGACATGAACAGAAGTTTTTCTAAAGAAGATAGACTCATTTCCAACAAACATGAAAAAATGCTCAACATCACTAATCATCAGGGAAATGCAAATTAAAACTACAATGAGATACCACCATACCCCTATCAGAATGGCCTTTATTAAAAAGTCAAAAAACAATAGATGCTGGTGTGGATGCAGAGAGAAAGTAATACTTATACACTGCTGGTAGGACTGCAAATTAGTACAACGTCTATGAAAAATGGAGATTCCTCAAAGAAATAAATGTAGATCTACCATTCAATCCAGCAATCCCACTGCTAGGTATCTATCCATAAGAAATGAAGTCATTTTATCAAAAGGAAAGCTGCATGCCAATGTTTATTGCAGCACAGTTCACAATTTCAAGAATGTGGAATCAACTGCCCATCAATTCATCAATGGATAAAGAAAATGTAGTGTATATACACCATGGAGTACTACTAAGCCATAAAAAGGAATGGAATAATGTTGTTTACAGCAACTTGGATGGAACTGGAAGACCATTATCCTAAGTGAAGTATCTCAGGGATGGAAAACCAAATACTATTTGTTCTCACTAGTAAGTAGAAGCTAAACAATTGGTACATATGGGCACAAAGTGATATAAAAGACTTGAAAAACCAAGAAAGAGGAAGGGAGGGTGAGTGTGGGATAAAAACTTACCTATTATCTACATGAGAATATTAAGGATATTTGTGTTATAGATATGCGTTTAAATTTTATTTTCTGTAATTCTTGTGGATCTCTTATTTTTTATGCTATCTATCTTTAATGTTGTCATATTTCTTTAAGTGCCTGGTTATCTTTCATTGTTTTCTGGAC